CATATTAGAATGATTTCTGAAGGATCGTGTGACACTGAAGACTGGAGGAATGATCCAGCTTTGATCATAGAAATAAATTACATTTTAAAATATATTCCAATGGAAAATATTTCTACATTTTGCTGTACTTTGGATCAAATAAATGCAGACTTGGTGAGCAGAAGAGAATTCTTAAAAAAAAAAAAAAAAACATCTTACTGTTCAAAAACCTTTGACTGGTAATGTAGGGTGGCTGATTATTGTTATAGATTGAAACAAATGTGCTTCAGCCAGGATAACGAATATGAAAAGTGCTCTGAGTTGCTGCACAAAAACATGTTGCTGGAGACGGGCTTAATGAAAATTGAAAAACTGCTTGTCTGCCAGCAGGAGGTGCTGTGAGAGCGGCAGAACTAGCGGTTTCTCCAGTAACGGCTGTAAACAAAGCAGCTCCGCTCATGAACGCTACTTTATCAGTTAAAAATGCCATCGAAACTATTCTGAAGACATTCAGTTCCCTTCAGAGATACATTCATATAAAACACCCGCGGCGTGTTATGATTTTGAAACGTGCAGCGCTCATGTTTATTCAACGAAGTCAAACGGCACAAATAAATCAATGTATGGTAAACACTAGTAATGTATATCGAAATATCGGAAATGTGTTTAAAAATCATATCACCGTTATTGAAAAGAATTATATCGCGATACATATTGATATTGAATTACTGTCCAGCCCTAATTTGTACTTATTGTAAGCAAAGGTTCACTTTGAACTAGTGCTGTCAAACGATTAATCGCGATTCATCGCATCCCAAATAAAAGATTTGTTTACATAATATATGTGTTATACATAGTATATGTTCCGTGTTAATATATTATGTATATATAAATACACACAGTATTTTGAAAATATTTACATGTCTATATTTATATTCATATAATTTATATTATAAATAAATATATTTATTATATAAACAAAAACATTTCTGAAATATATACATGCATGTGTTTGTATTTATATAAACATAATAAATATACACAGTAGAAACGCATATATTATGTAAACAAAAACTTTTATTTTGGATGCGATTAATCACGATTAATCGTTTGACAGCACTACTTAAAACTGATAATTACACTATCCTTTCTTTCAAAAAACTATTTTTGACAATAAAAGTGAATGAGGACAGAAGACAAAAAGCACAATTTAAAAAGATCTCAAAGATTTCCACAAATTAGAATTTGGCAACTAACAATAAATGGCAATATACATATATGGGAGAACCAACTGCAAAATCATGCAAAACTTCCACAGTGCTTTCTTTCACACAGACAAAACCGGTTTTCATGCACGGCACCCCATCGGCTCATTTCTGAGCTGGGCATTCTCTGATTATGAGCTCAGGATGAATGAGTCAGAGTTTGGGAGAGAGAAACGCGTGATGCCGGAGAGAAAGAAAGAAACAGTCGCCTGAGAAAGTGCCATTAGGAGAGCGCGGCAAATTTACAAGACCTAATAGCATTTATAAACACGCCACTCAAAGAGTGCAAGCCTCGAGTTTAATCGCACAGCGGCACGTTATCGGGCTATTTCAGAGTGTGAAGCATTTGAGTTACAAGCGTGGTGTAATTACACGCTCCGACGTCTCTTCTCCACACGCCTGCTTCAAATCAATCCAAGCTTTATACAAACTCCAGGCACTCCTGCATGATGAAAACTAAGGGACAGTGAATTATGTCACCGAGCAGCTCTTGAAGGGCTTCCTCTGCTCGTTCCCAGCGCTGATAGTAATTAGTGGCGTATTTCATCAGCTCTTCTGAGAGTCTTTCAGTGTAAAGTTGTGGAGCGATGTCAGCCAAACGCTCTCGTAGCACATATGAAGCATGTGGCGAGCCATCTGGGAGCCATTAGAGGGAAATATAGGCCTCTTCGTCATGTTTACCTCACGTCACTAAACAAGAAGTCTGGTTCTACACACAAACACACACACACATGGATGCGGTGCCTCATAATGTGTGTGTGTGTTTG